TTTTTCATATTCTTAAAGGATAACACTGTTATTTCATGAAACTTATAGAAACATAGTAGAGTAAATAAAAGCCTGGATGATGCAATATCTAAACCGATGCACACATCTTACATTCAAATACTATTAACCTACGGCTAAGGTGTTATGTAGAACTCATGTTAAAGTAACGCTTCTTTTTTGGTGAAAAATGCGCTTCTCAGAAACTGAACCATTGGTGACTTAACCGGATAAGCATGTGATAACATGTTATGTTCAATGCCAACTATGAAAATATTGTTTTCTTTAAAATGCCTTAGATTTGACAACGTCAATGTAGGACATACTAAACATTTTTGGAATCAGAATTAAAGATCCTATTTAATTGTGCTTAAATCCAATATGGCAACCATAAGAAAAATCGTAAACTAAAGTTGATGGTGACAAAGAACTAAACGAGATATTTAAATTTTGATGATGCCACCTTGTAAAGGGGAAAACGTGGCAGTATTAATGTGATTTTCATTTTGAAATCGCATCTTAAATAAAGTCAGGAAAAAATTAAGACAATTTTGGGAAAATTCTGTTTCTTTCGGATTTGTGCAACTTACTGGGTGCCATTTTCTTAGTTACCTAAACGCGCAACATTGGCTTGATTTAGGCGACTTCGTATCACTTACCGCTTCCCAAAAGCGAGAGACCAAATTATAAACATCCGGTGTAGGTACATCAAATAAGATTTCATTAGCTATGTGCAAATAACCAAACCTTACCTTTAGTAGCTATGTAGAATACGTATCTATCAATTTCAGAAGTATTTTCAGGCAGATTAGCCTGAATGCTGATATCTCTAGCTGTTCTATACAGTTCGTCTCTAAACGCTATGTTGATCTGAGTTTCAATCAGAAGCTGAAAGAGGGCGTTTCTACCATGCGCTCTCGCTGCAGCAAAATGCAACATGCTCTGGCCATGCTCATCCTAAAAATGCATACATTATCTTATTACGGATGACATACAAATCAGTCGTTAACTCTAAACAGCCGCGCTCAGCGATAATACCAGATTTCGTCTCGCACCTTCCAGTGTGACTGGAGATCTTTGGGAACCTAATTTCTGGATCAACCCTCGTATTTGCTTCTTAACGCGGGATGGTAGAGTGTTTGAGGTTAGACAAAATTGTAATTTCAAACTAACAATTTTCTTTAGAGTTTTGATAGCAAACCAAATCGTGGAATCTCCCGCGTAGGACCAAAAAAGCTAATCAGCTAAGACACAATTTACATGTTTTACAAATAACTTCTATTGCCATAAAGTTATAAATAACACATTTAGTTTTGCATCAAAAATTATATATCAATTAGGAATTCAAAACTTTGATAACCTCGAATAAAACGCAAACTCCTCTTTAATGATCCTTGTAGAGAAGAACATCACACCGGCTTTTTTACAATTCTTATATTTTTTAATTCTTGTCAGAGCCAAAATGATTTTTATTTACGCGTGTAATGCTTTCGAGAAACCAACATTTTCTGAAAAATTGTTTAAACAGTGAACCTACTCTGCTAGTGCTATTGAAAGCAGAATCCTCTTCATCATTTTCCTCTGGTTCCACTGTCACTACGTCAATACTCGCAGGCACTGATTTGTTACCATCATCGTTTGTTGGTGAACCAGTTATTAGCCTTTCGTGCTGATTTTCCTACGAAATAGAGCCATTGATATTGTGGATTCTACTAAAAGAGCAAAACTGTATAACATGTCTTTCAAAATGATAAGAAACTGTGAAAATACGAAAATAAGGTGAACAGTTCTGCAGAAACTACGCTTCAATCAGCGAAAATGTATAATTATCGAATACTACGGATAAGAGGTTAAACTGCGTAAGGGGTACGTATATTCATATGAAATCAATCCTGCCACCAACAATGGTGTGACTCTCGGGGGTAGAATATAGTGCAGAGCCCATTGGAAAATGTCAACATAACCTGCTGCAATCGTTATGTGCACTTCATTGACGTTTTGCCAGCTTTGTGGGTTTATTATTCCTTGGTTTGTTAATATTCAATATTTCTGCTTGCAATTCGTCCGGACTGTCAAATTGAAGCTATTTATTATGATGCTGACAGCAACAGAGAGAGAGAGAGAGAGAGAGAGAGAGAGAGAGAGAGATGCCACATCAAATTCATTTGGTGCGCAGTGTTCCAATTCACTGCATTGTCGACATTTTCTTCTTCACCGCCACTCCATGAGTTTGATCTCCTATTTTCAGTCTTCATTGTATAATTCCTGTATGAGTGTAAATGTCATTTGTTCATATAACAATTTTAAATTGTTCTCCCAAGTAGTTTGTCTAAACGAATTCTTGTAGTGCCTGTCTTTCGTATTGACTGGATGAACCCCCATGAAAATTCTTCTACAGTTAACAAAAAACTATTGAAATGTGAGCCTTAGAGATGGTCCACGTGAAGGATGGTTAAAAACCGCAACCACACCTGAAAACCATCGAAAGATATACGATAACGCGTTAGATCAGCTTTTCTCAAAGTGGGTGATGAGATGACAAATCCTTGAGGCGCTGAGGAGGTTCCCCATAGGTACGAGGGGCTCTAAAGAGCCTAGAATAAATTGGTGAGGCGATGCTAATAAGTACTTGAAACTAAGTATATTTAAAGTAACGTAGTTTCGGAGGGCGTACTAGGAAGTAATTGATTCTCAAAGTGGACTGTAGACGAAATAAGTTTGGGCATGTGTAGATGAGTGTGATAGACGAGGCTTTGGGGATTATCGGAAGAAACATCTTGCACAACGAAGTCAGGATGCGAAAGCTCTGCGTAAGTTGAGTGCGCATTTGCTGAATGCCGATCCATATCGAATGCGTTATACGTCTTTCAGTAGAGGTTCGACTGATTTTGTGTAGCGATTCGTCACTATAGATGAGAGGTGGGTCCACGACTACATGCCAGAAACAAAACAGAAGTCGACGCAGTGGGTGGAGCCAGACGTTCAGCACCAAAGTGAAGTCGATTGCACCTACCGGAGTGGTCATGGCCAGTGCATTTGGGATAAAATGAGGATTCTGTTAATTTGAAATGCTTAAATTTGAGGCTTGAAGAAGGAAGATCATTTTTCTTCAGGACAATGCACCTACTCACAAAGATGTCTAAGCAGTGGGGAAACTACGAGAATTGGGGTATGACCGTTACCTATTTTGATTTGGCACTTCCAACTTACAGAAAGCTTAGGATTTTTCTGAAAAGCGCATCGGGTTCAATTAAGAAGTTGAGACGGTCCTAGATAAATGGTTTGTCACCCTTTTCAATAAAGAATCCTGAATGGAGAAACGTTGGATCAAGTGTGTTGGAGCCGTAAAGGATTATGTAAAAAAATAATTCATTTGTTAACTTTAAAT